GGGAGGCAGTGGAAGACAGGAGGGCCTGGAGTGCTCTGGTCTATGGGGTCACGAAGAGCCGGACACAACTGAACGACTAAACAACAACAATGTTGACTTGTGGACAACACACTTTAAGAAGGATTCCAACAAACTGGAACAATTTCAGAGGAGGGCAACAAGAATGATCCAGGGGTTGGAAACCAAGCCCTCTGAAGAAAGACTGAAAGAACTGGGTATGTTCAGCCTTGAGAAAAGAAGACTGATGGGAGGGAGATATGATACAGCACTTTTCAAATACTTGAAAGATGATTATACAGAGGTGGGGCTTCTTGACTATCCCAGAGTGCAGGACACGTAATAATGGGCTCAAGCTACAGGAAGCCAGATTTCAGTTGAATATCAGGAAAAACGTCCTAACTCTTAAAGCAGTGCAGTAATGGAACCAATTATCTCAGTAGGTGGTGAGCATTCCAACACTGGAGACAATCAAGAGAAAATTGGACAACCATTTGCCAGATATCCTTTGGTTTATATTCCCGCATTGAATAGGGGCTTGGACTTGATGGCCTTATTGGCCCCTTCCACTCAATTATTCTATGATTCTGAAAGGTGACAGGAATAGGGTCTGAATCCAAATGCATCCAAAATTCTCAGCAACTTGCATGTAGGAGCAAGAGATTTATTAAAACCATCACTGCAAATCATCCACAGACTAGAAATGTACAGTGTTAATTCCAATTCCAAAGAAAGGAAACACCAAAAATGTCAGTAACTATGGGATCTCTGCATTAATTTCCTATAGTGTGATGTACATATATTAAGTTATTGCTGTTTCTTTTATCAATGTGCACTTCTCCATCTGAATCTAACCCAGTCTTCCATACTATATGTTCTTCACAAAGATTTAACAGAGAGATAAAATATAACATTTGGTGGAATCCTATGGTATATTTCTGTCAGTACAACTTCAGCAGCATAACTTTCAGTAATGAAAATGTTAAGTCAAAATAGGCATCTCCTATTACACACTGAGTCATAGAACTGGTTGCAGTAAGAAATGCCAATGCTGATGTCCTAAATTGAGACAAATTGTCACTAAAAGTTATAATAATCTATAACACTAGTGTTATAGAGGTGGAGCCTTGTATTTTAAGTCATTCAAAATTATAACTTTTTCTTTGTTTAAACTTATTTAAATTTAACTGACATATTTTCAAGTAAATCAGTGGTGCATGGTGGGGATTGCATTGTCTTCAAATAGCTAATGTTGGTGAATATTTAAAGAGAGAGAAAAATTAGTGAAAGTTGGTAATGAACATTAGCAAGGAGGCTTCATGTGTGATTAAAATGTTAGGAAATGCAATTGTGATCTTTCAGATACAACAGAAATCAATGAGTCTGTCACTCTAAATTTCCCGTTTTCTTTCATGTCATAAAACAGCCTTCTGTAAACTGGCACCCTCCCGACCGTTTGACCAGAGCCCCCATCATCATCATCTATTATCAGCCCAGTGGCTATGTTGATGGAGAATGAGAAGGTTTGTTGTTCAAACTACCTGGAGGTTACTGGTTTGGAGAAGACTGCCAAAGGAACGGCAGAGGCTTCCTTCATCAGCCCCTGCTGCTTTCTTCACTTCTCAGATGCCTCTTCCCTGACATACCTGGGCTTAGAAAGGAATCCTCCATCTTACCCCCAGGCAGAACAAGTGCCTTCCATGGAGAAAGAGCACCAGGTGTGAGTAAGTCATTCAAAAGCACTCCCTTCTCCTCATGCTAATTCATACAAAACAAGGGAGAAGAAGAAAGGGGGTGGGAAAGCTGTCATCATACACCAGCCCCCTCCACTCCTTCCTCTCTGCCCTTCCCTGAGAGGAAACACAGTTTCCGTAGGAAGTGTCTTCCACAGAGGATCTACTGGAATCTGAGGCTCCAGGCAACTCAAGGACATCTCCCCCCTTGGTCTCCAAGGATACAGGAATAATCCAGTGGAGACACAAACATCTGTATATAATAATAACATTAGAACTGCAGAGATGGAAGGGACCCTATGGATCATCAAGTCCAGCCCGTGTCAATGAGACACAGCGGGGAATCAAACTCCCAACCTCAGACTCTGTAACCAGATGCCTACACCACTGAGTTATACTGTATAACTAATGAGAGATGGCTTAGTGAGTTGGGTACTTGACTGCAAAGCCAGAGGCTGAGAGTTTGATTCTGTTCTGTAGTTCCTAGGAGAAAACCCGCCCACTGTATGGTAACCTTGGGAATGCTGCTCAGTTGCAGAGCATTCCCTTAAAGAAGGGAATGGTGAACCACACCTGAGTACACTCTTCCAAGAAAACCCTGGAAAAGGGTGCTGTTAAGTCAGAATTAATTTGATGGGATGTAACTATTATTATTAAGTGACTGAGAAGGAATAGGTGTTTTTAGATGGTATTTTAGAGAACATGACACTTCAGCGTTCAT